TTATTCGGCAAGCCAGCCAATAATCAATAATCCATGACGCCACGATTTGTCCACGTTTGGCGACGTATATTCGTGGTGTGCTAGGAGGGCCCATCTAGCAACGCGCAACTTATTATCCATGGTTTTCCACGATTGCTCACAATGTCCATCTTGGTACGAACTGTGGAACATCGGTGGCCACGATCTCTGGCGTCACACGACAACGCAACACGGTTGCAGTAACCAATGGATACGGGGCTGGTTCAAGCGCGTTATGGTTGGCAATCCAATCTTTTTGTAGAAAGTAGAAACCACGATTAAACTTTGCGCAATAATCTGCCTCGACGGGGACTCAAACCCCGGACGTACGGATTACCGGTCCGCTGCTCTACCAACTGAGCTACCGAGGACTGACGATCAGGTGGGCAATTTTTAATGCATGACTTCCTCTTGGTTCGCGACGTATTGCAAATAAGCTCTCAGTATCTGTCCTGTTGTTGCAGATTGGCTCACTCACTCGTCACTTCCTAATGAACCGAAGTACCTGTCCTCCAGATGTTCAAAGGGCGGACCGGTAACCCGTACGTCCGGTGTTCGAGTCCCCGCCGAAGCAGATTATTGTGCAAAGTTTAATCGTGGCTTCTACTTTCTAGAAAACTTACACTACTCACAAAACCACCAATAATCCAATCTTTTGTCAATGTCGACTGCATGCACTGCCAATCACAGTGCAACGTCTACGCTGTTTACCTCCAACCGTAGGGCCTTGCCTACCCAGTGCGTTTGGGACTGTAACGCGAAACCCCTTAACCCATCCCACCTACATGCTTACGGGCGCCCTGGTAGGTATATACCCCCGTGCGTACGCTAGAAGTCCGACTGCTGTCTCCATAATTTCTTGGAACGCGTAGTGAAGAAACTGAGAGATGAGCTACGCAGCGTTTTATTTGCAAGGTTATAGTAAGACCGCAAAGACCTTGTATTTACACAGAAATAATAAAGCAGCGTTAAGCGGTGTACAGACACAAGAAAGCAAGATTTGAGCACTATGTGCTCTTCGAATGCGAAGTAGCGTTAAAGGGAAGGTAAGCACAGTTAGGGTCTTCAGTGGTCCATGACGCGCTTTTCTGTTGAAACGGTGGTACCTTCGGACCAATTATTTCTACAACCTGCAATGTGGAGTCCTTAATGTCCGGTTGTGGATCACTAATTACCTGTGTCAAATTTGATTCACTTCTGTGTCGACGGCGGCTGTATCTCAGCCGCATGTTTTGCAGACCAATTTTCACTGACGTCGCCACATCTCCAGAGGACACATTTTCCACATGTAAGCGTTACATTTTAAGCAATCTTATTTCATAGTGTTAGGCTTTTAATGGCTCTTACTGCGTTCGAGAGAGTACACGGTAGTTCTTCGAAAAGCCACAATGTTGCCGGCACCAGCGAAGTTGATGTTCTCCGCAGTGTTATGTGACAGGAGACGTTCTAAAATGTTACGCGTAGCCTCCGGAAGCGTTGCATCAGGAATGGCTTTGGAGCAGTGAAATCATGATTCGCTGATTGTCTGAAACAAAGAAAGACAGTTCACGCGGTAGGAGAGGCTGCTTACCCAAAAGCAGCGGCTGGATAGCCCTTTTAAATTCTGATGAATCTGCTTCGCACGTGGCGTGCACTTTGTTGGAATGCGGTGCAAATGGACATGGCACAGTTACACGTAACGTGACAGTGTGAATCGGGTTCAATGCGCAACAACGTTAGCCAAGTGGGAGGCAGCAGAGGTATATGACAGGCAGCATTGCCTGCAAAACAGTACGGTTTGGTCACGGCGATATACAATATGTACTCATGAGTAGGGGATTTTGATGTAATTATGTGAGGTTCATCGCAGCCAGTTTCCAAATCAGATAGTCGTCCACATGCCCGGAAAAGCACTAGACTGCAGTTTCAGCCTGTTGGGCATCGTCAGTAGTGCGCATCCATCGGATCCGTTAGGATTCGAACCCATGACCACCAGCGGCTTGAACCGCCAGTCAGCAGCTTATGCCACTGGGCCACGGGGGACAGCTTCGGACCGTCATGATTTACAAGCTAACTGCGATATAGCGCGTCTTATCCTCCACTGCCATGCAAGTTACGCAGTTAGCTTGTAAATCATGACGGTCCGAAGCTGTTCCCCGTGGCCCAGTGGCATAAGCTGCTGACTGGCGGTTCAAGCCGCTGGTGGTCATGGGTTCGAATCCTAACGGATCCGATGGATGCGCACTGCTGACGATGCCCAACAGGCTGAAACTGCAGTCTAGTGTTTTTCCGGGCATGTGGACGACTATCTGATTTGGAAACTGGCTGCGATGAACCTCACATGATATACAATATGTTGTCTGTTGAATACTGCCTCTTAAATACGTCAGGTTCTAACAATGTGATACCAACTCTCCTAGTCAGATGAACGAACGCACTGCACGGTAACTGACAAATCTCGAAGTCTTTGGGTTCTCTGAACTTAGCCGCGAAAGATTAATTCACACGAGTCGAACGGGTTCCTAGACCGAACGTAAAGTTTCTACTCACGATTTCTCAACCCAAGAAGAATCAAGAACAAGACAGGCCTTTTTGCCACAGACGCTTTTACTGGCCAAAGCTAAGGCGATTCTAGCGTTGTACAGTTTCATTTTTATATCACAAAACGATGATGAAGGGGGTTTTCCCTTGTAATGGTTTACGTAAGCAAACCCTGGAAGCAAGAAACATGGTTTTATGTAAATATGCAAAAGTCCGTAAACTGAGCAGGAATGTTGGAAGTTTTGGTGAGAGTTGTCCGGAAAATGGATGTGGCTTGGATACAAAAATGAGTGTTTGCTTGGAAACGAGACTTTCTGGGTGCAAAGGCTAAACGAATGTGAATGTTTCACGAGTTGGAAGGCTGATTGAACGTGTGCACTTGTGTGAATCGGGTTTTCAGCCTTCCGTAATTTAAGCCTGTAATAATTGTAGTGACGTTGGGTCCCCATAACATTGTCATTTGAATTGGCTATGAGGATAGCACAACAGTCAAAACCTTGTTAATTGGTTGCTAATGTGAACGACTGGGGAACTCTGTGAAATTGTCCAATGTGGGCGTGTTGCCCCTGCTCTGCATAATAGTCGATGTCGGTGCTGCGGCGAATGATGAAATTCTCTGTGGTGATGTGTAGGTTGACTCACCAGACTTAGGCCTTTTCCTCGGTCGCGATATGTTCTTGCCTGGCAAGATGGCTCGCGCAACAGATCGTCTAAAGATGCTTTTTGGTTACTGTAAACGTACATGACATGTGGAGGAGTTGTGGGTATTGCCTGCATTTCTATGATGTCCTCTGGGGTTTGGCTGCACGGCATGTTGGCAGAGAAGATGCATGCAAGGCCGAAGTCATCTGCGCGACATGTTAGGGACGGGGCACTTACCGAAGCGACCAACTAGCATCACTGATCTTGTAAGCATCACTAGCTGGCCGATGGCTACGCATGACAACCTTGTGTTCCTAATGACGGATCTTGGGTAACAAAGCACACTCGTTGTTCGGTAGGAGCCAAATGCTACTGGTAACAACGGTCTCTTTCTCTCCGTTTTTATCCATTGTAACGACGCGAAAATTGCATCCATATCTGCATCGATGCATTGGAACGATAGTCAGAAACCGCAGTGATATGTTGATGCAAATGTACTCATTAACAAATATAATGGAGAAACGCACCAGAGTGTGTCACATTACTTTATGACTGGTCTGCGTGCTTCACGAAAGGCCCGCACAACGTAATGTGAACACCGGGTTCGACCGCAACCAACGGACGTTTCTTCATTCACATGCACGCAAAGTACTTCCCAGCATTTCCTTCATCACACAGACATACGTGGTCCACTCTCTGTCGACCTTTTTCATTTTCAATCACGGCACCCATCATATCCGAGGTTATCTGCGTAGACGAGAAAGACCCCTGTTGGAAATTTTCCAACTACAGTGATAATGCGTGCGAGCGCATTGCTGGTAATGGTCATGCAGGTGCCGACAAAGCAACTTCGTCACAAACGCATCCCTGTCCACAAACAATACAATGGAACTACCTACAGGAAACATCATATGAGCAAAACTTTGATTCCGCGGTGGACATGACTGCAGTAACTCTCCGGTGTTACTTGCAGCGCCACGTACCAAGTATGCAAGGATTTACTCACTTATCCCGCGGGATACACAGACCGGGGAAAGGTAAGGTGAATGGGACAGAATGTTTCACACAACTAGGCTTGACTGCGTAGTCGTACGCTGTAAGCTGTGATGTCGGCTGATGGTGCAGAGGCAGTGGGCGGGCTTATCACTGGTGAGCACACGAAATGCAGCATTTCCTTGTGAATGCAATGGAACAGCGAGGTACATCTTGTGTAATCCGTTGCTGCACATAAAAGTAGGCGGTCGCATAAGTATGTACGTGTATCATGATTCTGCGCAAGTAAGCCGGAGTCCACTTTCAATGTGCAATCCCGACACGCGCGTACATCGAAGTCACGGCGGTACTATGACCATTCTCATCTCATGTTGCTATGTAGCAGTTTTTATATGCATCCCGATGTTGCAGTGACTGCTAGAAATCTGATACTCTTGCGCCGAGGCTTCCTCGCCAATGATCCTAGACGGTGATTCTTTGAAAGTATACAGTAAGGCGACAATTATCGTCCTTTGAACGTCCGGTATCGCCACACACTTGTATAGAATGTCCTCGGTTGACAAACGAACAAGTCGTTCGGTAATACTTCGTGCCAAGTAAATACCCATTTTGATATTGTAGCGAAAACGACGCGGGGAGGTGGGCAGAGTCTGTATTGCCACAAAGACGTGCAACTGACAACTCACCAACCCGTACAGATTTGGACCGTGTTTTTTCCCACGACGCAACGCGAATGAGGATTTGTGTGACGGGCCATTCTAGGTGCGTACGAGGTTGGGCTCCGAAACCACCCCTCCATCTTTCCATCCGTATCTCCGCTTCATTACATTCAATTCTGGCCGGCCATGAGCCGTTTGAAAGCTCGCGATTTGCTCTTACGTGGCTGCATCACTCGACCCGTGTTCACTCCTGTGGGCTTCGCTTGCGGCGTATTTGTCTGACTCATTGCCTTCTCGACACATACCTCCTCCATTATTCTGGGTCCAGTCTCGTTATCAGATGTTGTCCGGGATCCGCTGTCGTTTCGATCTGCAACGCTCGCATAGCCTTGTCTCGTCTCATCCATTGCGTTGTTAATTCTTTACAATCCCATTTTTGTTGTCGTTCTGGTTCACGAGTGGTCACTGGCTTCCGTCGCCTTACAGTATGACCTGTACTACTCCAATTAGGTGGGTAAAAGACTAGATAGTAGATATGACCAGGTAGTATTGATACAAAGAGCTCAAAAGTCAACATGTGTCCCTTAACGGCTGAGTTACGCGGTTCATTAATGTTTACCTCAATGATGATTGGCTGGGCATGGGCATAATCTCTTTGGATCGGGGGATATCTGGGATCGGGTCATGTGCAGCATTTGGGTTGGGCTTCCCTATATGACACCTCCCTCTGCTGTTGACATGTCTACGTGGAGACTCCAGCCCTTGAGTCCATATGAATCGATATGGTAGTCATCGATTCCCTACTGTGCGTTGAGTTGGCAGATGTCACTGGAGCAGGTTCATGGGTGTAGGTGGGGTTGACCGCCATTGAGGAATCAGGTAACAATGGGTGTGAATGGTACGAGGGAAGGGTACGTAAAATGGTGGCGTGTGCTTGTGAAGTTGGCATAGTAACATGAGTGCATAGCATCGTAGCAGCAAGAGAGCGGGTGGATGGTTGTAGTTGTAAGTCCATGGTTCGTCAGTGGGCGGGATACTACCCGGTTGCCCAAGCCGAAGTAGCGGGTTGTCTTAGGGTGTCCCACTTTGAGCAAGGATCTAACCTACAAGGCAGCAGGGCGATATGAGGATATCGCAACCCGTTGGTAGCCGGTGACCAAACAAGTGGTTCATACGCCTTTAGGACCGCATAGGACCAGGGGCCCAACACACCTGTAGCGAGAACGACACGGTAGGGGAGAACGCTGTTTATTGCACGCTGAGAGGTTCACACACATGTCCCACGCACACACACAAATATAGCCGCGTTTCCCACTTACGACGCACCACGTTCCGCCGAGTGAAGTGGTGTCCACTCAGCGCCATTAGGCTGATCCGACGTGGACATTGAATGTGCCGTTTTCCGCCCACATTTCTGCTCCCTTGCGTCGCAGCCTATCCAGACTGGATTCGTACCAAGGCTCTCGACTTGCTTGCTCGGGGCTGTGTTGCGCTGGTCGGGGCGGTTTCTGGGGCCGTAGATAAAGGCATATCTCTTGGGAAAATCGGGCTCCCTTTCATGTCACCTCTTGTTCTTCTCGGCGTGGCCGCAATATCGTTTGTCGCTGACGACCCATTCCCGGCTTGTATCGTAGGCCACGAGCTGGGTTGACGATTCCCGTTCCCAGTCTCCGCGTTAGTCCCGATCTCCTGCTGCTTCCGGGTCATTTCCGTGTGAACTGAGATCCGCGCCCCTACACACCTTTGCATTACAATGCCACTCAGAGAGAGGCAAGCGGCAGTGACTTTATTTAGTGGCGAGTCACATCCACCACGTTATTAAACGGACATATGTGGCTTTTTATATGGAGAACGCTTGCCATGCAGAACCCCACCACTTCCTGGAACACTGCTGCCGGACCATTCGCTGCAACGCGATAATCCCGAACCATCCTGCTGGCACCACGAGGAAGTTGTTCGGCAAGTCAATATCATTTGCTCATCAACTGCAGTAAATAAATAACTAAATTTTTGTGTATACTGACAAACGGTGCACGGCCCCATATGTGGGAGCGGTCATTTCTATAGTGATTGGGTTTCATGTTTTATGCGGCGTAAATCATAATAGTAAAGGAATGTGTGTGTGTGTGTGTGTGTGTGTGTTTATGTGATCTCAACAGCCTAGCAACTAGATATAGAGCCAACAAAGCCGTGGAGATTAGCAGATAAGGGGAAGTCACTGCGTCATAATCATCGTGGCATGGTAGTTGAAGGTGAGCAACACACTTCAGCTAATATGCCGCAGGAAGAATGGAACATTTTGACAAAAGTAGAACAAAACATTTTTAGTTTGTTTTCACACGCCGATTTTTCTCTTTTTTGTCATTTTCACTGTTGGTAGTATTAAACATGTGAATCAATACAATACTGTACACAATTCTTCTACTGATTCCGGTTACGGGTCATGTCTTCAAGAGTGTTAAGCCATTGGCACTCCTCATCTTTGGGTCCCCATCCTGGAAGATGTACGGAACCAACAGCGGCTAGACACGATGTTAGCGATTTCATGTGCTGCCGACATGTAGAAGGCTGACCACCACGCGGTCGCCTCCAGCCAGGTCCTTGACGAGCGAATAGAGCGCGACGCAGTAGACGCTCAGGCGCCATGCGTGGGACATGACCGAGCCATCTTAACTGGCGCAACAAAACCAGTTTTTTGAAGGGAATACTCGCATCCCCCAAGATGCGACGTCGGACGTCATTACTATTAACTCGATGTTGCCATGAGCGATCCTCTTTAAGCAAACGTTATCGAATGCAGAAAGACGACGCATGTCTTCCACGCGAATCGGCCAGGACTCGCACCCATACAGCAATACTGAGCGAATTGATGCGCTCTAAATGCGGCCCTTTAGTGAGAATGAGACGTCACGACGACGCCACAAGTGCCTCAGATTGACAAATGCTGATCGAGCTTTAGCGATACGAAGCGAAACTTCTTTGTTGATAGTGCCGTCAGCAGAAACACAGCTCCCAAGGTAGATGAACCTTCGTGAGTGAGCACAGGAGCAGGTGAAAGCCACTCCTTGAGCAGTACTTTACACTTCGATGGGGCGAAGCTCATGCCATACTTAGATGCTTCAACCGCCAAACGATCCAGAATGAGTTGCATACCCTGAGGATCGTCACCAAGTAAGGCGATATCATCAGCACAATCTAAGTCGGTGGCGCGCTCACCCGGTAGAAGCTCTAAGCCAAAACGTTGGAAACCTTCTAGAGCATTCGACAGAATGTCTTCGATTGCGAAGTTGAAGAGAAATGGGGACATAATGCAGCCCTGTCGCACACAGTTATGGACAACGAATTGCGAGGAAAGCTTGCCATAGACCCTCACTCTACCGGATGTATGAAGGTAAAGTGCTCGTAAGATGGTATATTTCTCTTGCACCCCGTTCTTTAGCAAGCAACGCCTTAAAGCAGGTCGATCAACGGAGTCCAAAGCGGCACGTAGGTCTAGGAATGCAACGATAGTGGGCCTGTGATAAATGTGGCGATGTACGAGGAGCTGGCGGAGTGTGAATATTTGATCCACTCATCCGCGACCAGGAGGAAAATCAGCTTGTCTTTCACGGTAATATGATTCACGTACTGGGGATAGTCTGCGAAGCAGAATGGATGCCAATAGCTTAGAGGCAACCGAAATAAGACTAATCCCGCGATGATTTGCACATGAAGTGCGAGTGCCTTTCTTGAAAATCGGGACAATAACTGATTCGCCCCAAGAGGAAGGCAGTTTCCCTTTATGTCACATTTTTGCGAACAGTGCGGTTAGCTGGTTAATGCCATCGGCGTATAGTAAACAGTTTGGCGCAATTTGACTCACTAGACCAAAAATGGACGGGCCCCAATACCGAAGCCTGTGGCATTTGACATGAATTGTATCTGACACGGATTCACGTACTCTCACTTCCAGACGCCTGTGCTAGAGAAAATTGCCGACCCATCCTAGGAGAAGTTCCCCAATGCCACGTACTTGAACTTTGGCGAGAAGGATGCGATGGTCCAACCGGTCGGTTACCTAAGAGAAATCAAGATATGCCACATCAACTCCTGCACCAGCGTCCGCGGTTTCGGTCCAGCTGTTTTGTGCTAACAGTAGATTGGTTGTGCACGACCAATTCTAGCGGAAGCCGTGTTGCTGCTTAGCAATCTAACGAAAGCCGTCCAGATAAGATATGAGTGCGTCCGCAGCGATAGCCTGCATAACTTTTGTAAGAACTGGCAGTAAAGTCACTGGCCGATAATTGGCTACCCCTTTGTAAATGGGAGTTATTATTCCGTGTTTCCACATTGCCGGAACATGCTGATTGTCAAGGCAGTGCTGGAACAGCCGCGCCAAAGGTTCAACCGAAATAGTAGCCGCCACAGCAAGCGTCTTTGGGCGGATGTC